TAGCACATGCAACTCTACACTCTTCCTTACTTCGACCTACATCAATAAGATTGCTCCATCCACCCTCTTTATTGTTCTCAAATGATAAGATTTTCTGCTTCTTATCCGCCAGTCTACCTGGATATTTCTTACAATGATTTGTCAAATGATTACCCAATGTAATAGTACAACACTTCTTAGTGCCACAAACATAATCTACTCCACAATAATTACACTTACATCTAACATTTGGATCATTCTTTGGGCCCAATAGAGTGAAGTGATCCCAAACATAAGAAGCTAATCTACTAGATTTTCGTTTACCCCTAGTTGACGGTGTACGTGGAGGAAAACTAGATCACAAATCTATGTCATTTGATTGAGCCTGTGTGCCACATTCTTCACATACACCCATATCTACTAACATATCCCACAAAAAATATGAATACACCATATTAAATTACAATTATGAATGCACTACAAGGAATAAAGAATATTGCACCTGGGTCCATTTCCTTACTGATTTTATCATTATCAGTCATTTTAATTGATTCAGATTTTAACTATAAGTTAGAAGACGCCTCTCTATCAGTACAAAATAGGCCATTAGTCATTCATCTGTATGCTATCAAATAAAGTTTAGAGATAATTTCAATCCAAATTAACAACCTTTATGCTTTTAGGTTTTCATTTGTTTACATATCAAGTCTAGAACAATGGTCAAGTGCTTGTGTAAAATATTTATGACAGTTTCTGATAAAGTCAAGAGTAACCTACAACATTTCAATTATCCAAAGTGAGCAAAAAAATACAGATAAATCATAAATGAAGTGAACAACATAACAAGAAAACAACTGATTGCCGGGAGGTGTGCCAGTGACCTTGTGCGAAAGGGAAAATACCGAAATTCTAGTGATATTATTATGTATATAGAAAGGGAAAATACAAAAATAACTATAAAAAAAAAAAACTTGCTTTCGCCTTTCAGTTTCAGTCCACTCTTGGAAGGAAGTAACTAAAAACAAAAGAAACAGTCGACAGATAGAATCAGAGAAATCAAATAAGAAAAATATATTTGTGCGACTGTGCTGTGCCCGTGCGTGATGATTCCAATCTTGAACTGAATCGGGTAAGTAATAGAATAGATTTACCTTTGAGTCGATCAAAACCCACCCCACAAGTTGAGAGAAAATGACTGGACGAGAAACTGAGAAAGATTAGGGCCTTTTGTGTTGTGTGGCGGGAGTGGAGAGCGAAGAAGAAAAGAAGGCCGATTGAAAATTCTAGGGTTTTTTTTTCCCTTTTATATTTAGTCGCTTTTTTTTTTTCAATTTTTTATGTTGGTCGGGTCGGGTTCTACCGGTTGTCTTGCTTAACCCACAACCCAACCCAACTCGACCCAATAGCGTAACCCAATACCCGAAACCCGCCTAAAACACCAAAAAACTGACCTAACCCGGTCGGGTAGGTCGATTTTTGTGGGTTGACTTGGGTTTTGCCCACCCCTAATTGGGACTCCTAAGTGAGTGATGAGCCGAAGAAGAAATAGGGATTGGGTTAGTTACTGTAGTTGGCAAAAATTATAATTTTTTTTTTGGGATTTCTGTTTTCCAAAATAAGGATGAGATTTTCATCTTTACAAACAGAAAAAACACGTATAGGGAGAAATGAATCTCTTTCTACAACAATTCTTTCCTTCTTTGCTTTTACATGAGATAACCCTTGACAACAAAAGTGAAAGAGGAGAGTTAGACATTAAGACCACGTGGTCGTTTACTGGCAGCGGTGGGCGATTCTGGGCAGTGGTCGATGGTGATTGGTGATTGGATTTTTTGTTTTTGGTTTTGGGAAAGGGTAGGGGATTTGGAGTAGGTACGCAGTTCTTTTATTTATTTTAAAGTTTTTATTATAGAAAATATAAATTAACCATTTTGCTCCTCATTTATTTTTGTCAATTTGAGTCGAACTACTAATTTCATGAATGACTAATGGATTAATGGATGGATTTTTTTCAATAAACTCCAACTACAATCAAAATAAAAAGTAGTGGACTGCAGTCGTAAAATAAAAGGTTAAGGTGTAATTTGCAGCAAATTATCGAACTCCAAGTATCACCTAGGTTTGGTCAAGATTGCATAAAAATTAAAAAAATTCAAGTTGGTTCAATGCCGTCCATTAATGGTCAAATCTTATTATTTTCCTCTCATCAGATGCACGCACTCCAAATGTAATGTTTATTCTCTCTCTCGATGTGTTATTTATAAAGGTCAATTCACGTGTTACTTACCCTCTCCAATCTAGTTGAATAGAACAAATAAAGCAACTAATTAGACACATGAATATTTTCTTTATTTCGAGTGTCACAACCTTCAAACTTCCACTAAGCAAGTCAAACTCACTAGTTATCTAGATCTCAATATTTAGTATCTAAGGTTAAGTCACGCTATATGAATCTTATATTTAATGCACTTTCTTTTGTACCTATTCACAAGAGGAGTTCTTTTGCTTTTGTTTTTAAGGATATTTATTTGGTGTCATTATTGAGATCTTTTATATAGTAGCTTACAACGTGAATGGTTTTTTTTTTTCTTTTGCCATAATTAGCGCAATGCTTTTTATTAGAACGGCTAGTTGGATTAGAGCCCTAGCGTACAATCAATACCTAGTTTTCACCTTTTAGACAAAATCACTCCACACATACAGTTCATGCTCGGAATCAACGTATATCCCCAACTAATTACTTCTATTACTTCAATGACCCCCAAACTATTCTCGCACATTGGTTAAGTGATTGATATATTGCTTCCAATCGTTGAAGAAAATGTAACTTAAGTTAGTGAGAATAATTAGATTGGCAAAATAGTCATTTATGCTCGTACCTAATTATCGAAACTCGAACAAGGATGAAATATATTCAGGTAAGTCATAGAAAATACTGTAGATATTTTAGCGTATGTTATTTTATATATTTTGAGAGTATAGCCTTTTGTCTTTAATGAAATCAAAGATTGATAATTAAATTGGGTGGTCTAGGATAAACTAGATATCATCTAACTATTGGAGTTTGAAAAATATACGTTTGAACATGTCCCAATGGTAGCTCTATAAAGTTTTGTACTGAATTGTAATTACTTTGAAAGTTTTGAACTTAATTATAATTGTAATTCAGGTTCAGCAATTACATGTGCAATTTAACCATATCATAATGACACTTGGACTTGGATTGAAACTTCCTTATCTATATACGCAGACTTAAGAGGGCTGAATCAGGCTTTTAATTTCTTGCATAAGAAAAATAGAAAAAATTGTTTTGTTGATTTTTCTTGATTCTTCAAGTCAAGAATTGGGTTTTTTACTTAATTGGAAAGGTGCCCACAAGTCGTGTAGTCTATATTTTGAAGTATACAATAGAAAACTTGATTGTTGGAAACGTCAAATTCTTAAATTAAAAATTGGAAGTTCGTGAGCAAGTCGCCATGGGAAACGTCATTAGTGCAACACTATCCCTCACTAAAGAACTCAACTGAAGTACAGCTGATTTGCACCAGCAATAGCTAATCTGTCACCTACACCCAAAAATCCCTTCAAGGAACATGCAAGGCGTCTTTTGAGACTGTGATTAATATGCTTCAAGAGGGACAGGTTGCTCTAGTGACAATGGCACATTGCAAACGAAATTAAGCGCTGCCTTAGATACAGTGTGCGCCATGAACTGGCAAACTTTGGTGATACTTTTCCTCTAGCTAATTTGGCCAAGGAACTGTCCCAAAATGTATCTATTTGCTTGGCAACAACGGCACGAAAAGTGAGACCATAGAGCTTGCACCTGTGAGCTGCTTGGAATTTTATGTACGACGATGAGTGAGAATCTTGATTTATTGGTACATAAGCATGTAATAATGCTTGTTCTACAGAATCTGCACCACTGATTATTTGTAGGAAAAGCTTTATCATCTGCCTCAATTTATAACATATATAGTCAAGCAAATTTTGAGTATTTCTTTTACTATCCATAAATTTTCATCTTCAACACCAGTTTTGTGATTCTTTTATCAGATAATGGAGCAAGGAACAAAAGAAATTAACCAGGGAAATTTTTTTTTCAAACAAAGCAATACACAATTGTCTGAAATAACGATTTTTTAAGAAAAATATTTTTTTGGCCAAATTCCAGTGTATGGCCACTGGCCCCCAACCCCTATGCCACAATGTAAAGGGGTAACCTTAAACCCGAAACTCTCTTCGTCCAAGTTAGGGCTTTCAATAAGCAATGATCAAAATTCTCATTTTCCTAGCTTTGGTTTCAAAATAACTTGCGTTTGATTGCGAGCATGGCATTTATACGAAATGAAAATTATTAATTAAATATTTTTGATTAATTTAATTTTCAACCTAGAAAATATTATATTTGTTCATTATTCATTAGTGGGTAGATAAGAAAGGGGATAAATGAGAAATAGAAATAGAGAGTGAATTATCTGAAAATTAAAAACCACCTCACCCTAAAAATACATTTTCCTTATTTTCAAGGAAAATATAGTCATGTAACCAAAAGTAGAAAATATTTTCCGTGAAATGGTAGTCTGGTTCCTAGTAATAAACAAGAATCATCAGCCTCATCTACTCTTTTTTCTCACACAGATCTTACAAGGGTGACTTATTTTTGTTGAAGAGTTGTGGCTTTTGAGTTGTTCAACGAATTTCAAGATCATAGTAAATAGTGAATTACTTTCCGAAAGTATTAATTATCTAGCACCCTAGAAATATGCAAATAGGATCAGAAAAAAATAACAAAAGTAGATCAATGCACCACTAATCCAGAGTCCAGCCTCTTAAAAATAAGGCACGATTCGGTATTGAACTTCATCAAGAAGATGAGTCTTTTCCCCAAGTACTAAATGATACAAATGCATAACATATTAACATTTCTATCCAGTTATTTGGTAATGACTTATCCAAAAATATACATGAGCCAAACATCAGAATCCAGTAATATTTTCAGTTCAATTGACATGTTTTGCTCAGTCTTCAGTGAAAAAGGGTCCAGAAAGACTGTTCATTACAGCCAACTGCATGTTTTCTGATGGCTTCCAGTGCCTCTTCCTTTGATTTATAAACCAGTTGTTGATTTGCTTCTGGTCTAAGCCTGTCGATTCGGCCAGTGAAATTTTATCTGCTTCCTGGATACGAAATTTGAACACAAAATAAAATGTATGTGAGTAACAAAGCTCACATTGCAAAGTTTCGTTGAATGCCTTAATCCTGTTTGGTCCTATCCAAACATACCCTGAAAGTACTGTGTACAATTTTGCAAATAGCTAAGAAAACAGATTTGGGGAATGCAAGGCAGAATGAGTACTAACCGTTGGATAGGGCCATTTATCGTGAACTTTCCACCATTCAAGTAATGTTTGCCTTGCCTCTTTCGGTAGCTTTCCTTTCTTCTTCTTCTTTGAAAATTCTAGCTTTAGGCTACTTATGTGATTACCATACCTTCGTAAGAGTCTATCCTTGAGCTCCCGGTTTTCACCTTTAGCCTGTGTGTCTTGCATTTCTGTTTCTCCCCCACTAAACTCCTCGTCTGAGGATAAACCACCATCATCTAGCCAAAGAATTGAAAAGGGTAACCACAGATGATGGCTATGTTACTTCGAGTGAAAATCAACATAGTCCACATAATCAACACTGGATCACAAAATATTAATGTATCTATAAAGAAAAAAGCCGACGACAAATTCAACAAGACGTGCCATGAAAAAATCCTGGATCCTCTCCAATCTCCATCTTAAAATGACTTAACCCTGGTTTGACAACCATTATTTGGAAAAAAAACAATGTTTTTGAATAGTTATTTTTAGAAAAATGTGATTAAAAAGTTAGAAAAAATTTTGAATTTTAATCAAATATTTGCAAATGTTTTTTAAGTGCATAACAAGTCATAAGAAGTAATTTGAAATCAAACAAAAAATTAAGCTACCCTTCAAGTTTGTTTGAATGTGATTTTGATAATCTTAGCATACATTTAAGTTTATGAAATTGAAATATTTTCATGCATATACATGAAGAGCAAGCTCCAAATACAAAACCTAAACATAATACATTTACCATTCCATTATGCAAACTACATATGCGCATAGGACCAATAGCAATGCCTCAATACCTCGTAGCACGAAAGAAGATTGTATTATTGGTTTAGTATCTCGACTAAAAGCTCAACCCCTGTTTGGGCTCCATTAAATGAGTTTTTGGGGAAAAAAAAAAGTGTTATGAAATAGTGATTTTTTAAAGAATGTGTTGCTCAAAAAAAAAATTAGGTTTTCGTGTAACATTATTTTATGAAAGAATGTGGTTGAAAATGAGTAATGAAAAACTGTATTTTTGAAAGGAAAAAAATAGAGCCCAAAATGGGGCTTAATTTGCTAGAAAGATTACAAGTTAACTTATTTAAATTTAACTCTTCATAAACTCTACTCTCTTGCATACCGAATTCATAATACATCGAAAAGATACATAATATACATGCACAATTTTCATAAATGAGCAACATACTTGAATTCTACCTCTATACTCATAGAACATTGCTACACATACGGGAAAAGGAAAAACACAGAATATTTACAGGATTTTGAAATGGAGAGATTTCATTGGAGGAAAAAAGAAAAGATAAAAAAACAGGCCAACAGCTTTTTACCATATCAGCTTCCTGTCAAAACCCTGTTAAAAATCCCTGTACTTGCATCTTTTTCCGTACTCATATCATAGCTACTTAACCCCTGTTTGGTACACATTAAGCCTCTGTTGGTCCGCATTATTTTTTTCATTCTCATTTTTTTACTCATTTTCAACCACACATTCTTCAATAAAATCATATTTTCTATCACATCAATAACTTTTCTTTTTTTTCAACTACATATTCCCCATCACATCAAAAAAATAAAATGCATTCTTGGTTTCATAATGTGCACCAAACAGGTCCTAAAATTTTCATTCTCATTTTTCTACACATTTTCAACCACTCATTCTTCAATAAAATAATATTTTTCATCGTATCAATAATTCTTTCTTCTTTTTCAACTACACATTCTCCATCAATCTACTATTTCAAAATACATTCTTCCCAAATAATGTGACTCAAACACATCCTTAATGATGTTAAAATGAACACGTTGAGTCAGAAATAAAATTATAGTAATTTTTATTTGGCTAATTTTTTAAATTATGTATTTTGATGGGTCAGCCGAATCTAGTCAGTTCTTAGGCGTGAGCAGACTGTAAGACAAATCTTATCGAAGTGACAGCACCAGAAAATTAATTGTATGGAACTCCATAACCCCTATGCCCCACTCAGTTTCTTTATCTCAAGCACCAATGAAGTGGGTGATGAATTGGGTCAATTTATTGTTCCCACCAAAAATAGAATAACATGGGATATGTGGGGTATCAAATAAATAACTTTTCTTTTTTTTCAACTACATATTCCCCATCACATCATAAAAATATAATGCATTCTTGTCTTCATAATGTGCACCAAACAGGTCCTAAAATTTTCATTCTCATTTTTCTACTCATTTTCAACCACTCATTCTTCATTAAAATAATATTTTTCATCGTATCAATAATTTTTTCTTTTTTTTCAACCACACATTCTCCATCAATCTACTATTTCAAAATACATTCTTCCAAAATAATGTGACTCAAACACATCCTTAATGATGTTAAAATGAACACGTTGAGTCAAAAATAAAATTATAGTAATTTTTATTTGGCTAATTTTTTAAATTATGTATTTTGATGTGTCAGCCGAATCTAGTCAGTTCTTAGGCGTGAGCAGACTGTAAGACAAATCTTATCGAAGTGACAGCACCAGAAAATTAATTGTATGGAACTCCATAACCCCTATGCCCCACTCAGTTTCTTTATCTCAAAGCACCAATGAAGTGGGTGATGAATTTGGTCAATTTATTGTTCCCACCAAAAATAGAATAATATGGGATATGTGGGGTATCAAATAAGTGACATAAAAAATAAGTATTTGAGGATTTTAATGTTTGGCTGAAACTTCTTTCCATCTCCTTTCAAATTGTTATGACCTTTCATAAGTTGCTTATTTTAAGTAGAGCCAAACATGCACTCTATGACGTTTTCTCACTATGATGGAAAAATAATTAAAAATTGCTTAATAAAATAAATTTAAGATAAAACATAATTATACGGATCAACTAATCCCCACTCAAAATGTTCTTAGATCAAGTGCGGGAGAAATTACCGTCTGAAGTCAAAGTCAATTATTAATATTTATCGAAACCATTACTCCTCCAGGTGTCAATTCTTTGAGAAAAAAGAAAATAATTAAACCACAATTTCAAAGTACACAAAGGAACTGAAAACGCTATTTAGCAAAGAACGTTTTATTTATACCATCCAGCACGAAGACCCATGTCTGGCCAAAAGAGGTTTGGTTTACCAACAAACTCAGTGCGTTTGCAGAGAGTAAGTGTTTGCGATTTGAAATCTAAAGTGGGCCAACCCGCAGCGGAAAACCCGGGCGTCCATATGAAGTTAAACCACCCGTCCTATCCGGGCTAACCAATAAAGTTTAGGGTACCCCACTTTTTCTGCCCTTCCATATGCCCTCACTATATACTCCTGGACACTACTATGGACCCTCCTCTCAATTCTTCACTTCATTCATTATCTACACATTCCTCTCTATTCATTTAGAAAACGTTGAGAAGCGTCACGACTCGATCGTAATGGACGTGATAAAAAAAAAATAATAATTTAAATTAAATTTGAGGAGTCTAAGTTCGTCATCTGGTAACAAAGAGGATCCTCGGCTTGAATGGTTCACGAACTCTGATGACCATTTAACGTTGACGACTCAAACTCTCGAGTGAAGTGAAACCCTTAGGAAAAAAGTCTTTTCGGAGTTTTAACCGAAGGGATCTAAGCCTAGGAACATCCCGTTCCCATGGGAAAAAAATAAATGAAAAGAAACATTTAATAATCTTCCCAAAAGAGAAATGATGGCTAATTTTAGGTTGTGGGAACTACAACTATATCTAACACAGCACAACTGCACAAGCATCATAATGTGCTTGAATTCTAAACTTGTGCAGAAAACTATAATCATAATGTTCATTTTTAGATTGTTGAAAATGTGTTCTTTTTGACATTTTGAAAAATTATTTTGAAAATACTCAAAACGCGTTTTGAATATTTTGGCGTTTTCAAGAACGCGTTTTCGAAAATAGGAAAGAGAACGCGTTTTCACTGTTTTGGAAAATCGAAAACACGAAAACAAAAAAAGGCTTGAAAATAATAAAATGAACATACCCTTAATAATCTTCCCAAAAGAGAAATGATGGCTAATTTTAGGTTGTGTGAACTACTAACTATATCTAACACAGCACAAGCATCATAATGTGTTTGAATTCTAAACTTGTGCACAAAACTATAATCATATCAAGATACAGTAACAAAACTACAAAAGAAGGTCCACATTGACATGACTATATGAGAGGAGACAGTAAATAGATTTGTAAGATAAAGTCTCACAGTGATAAACCTAATGTGAACTGTGAAACTCACTAGCATGCTTTCTACCCAGTTTGGAGTTGTAGAACTTACTCGAAATTCCAAAACCAAGTAGAATTACTTGCCCTTAATTTGTTTGCTTTCCACATTGTTTTGCACTCACTCCTGAGAAACTCAATCATAAAGGAAAGACTTTGATAGCCACAACCAAATTTAGAGATGTAAATCTTACGGAAAACAAGCCACAGCCCCTTGTGTATTTTTCTGTATTTGTTCTACCCAAATTTGCATGATACGTATGGTTTGTAGGTATAGTGGAGGTTACGTGGAGGTTGAGTGTGGTGGCCCGGTGGGAGATTAAATTTTCAAGCTCAAAATTTAACTCCTCCCTTCAAAAACCATCACATGCAAACCAGGTCAAGTCAATCCATATGGGCGACCCGTTTTCTTCCAACATGAACTATAGAGCTATGACACACCGAATAGTCAAGAAACTCAAAAAAAGTGAAGTTGCATACTGAAGCTTAAGAATACCTGGTCGGATTAACAAACTTCCATTAAGCTATTTTTAACACGCCTATAAATGCCAGTATAGGCAAAACTTGCAGAAAACAGTGATCATATTAAGAACTATCGAAACCCTTGTGTAATTCGAGAGTGTCTCAAAATGATCCAAGGAGGTTGTCACAAGGGAAAATTTGGTAACAGCGAAGCTTCAAGAGCTTACTAGTAAATCCTACTTATTTGGACAAAGATTTTCAGCTTCTGAACATGAACATTCCATATATGACTATCACACAAGAATGCCACGTATAAAGTAGTTGGGACAGTCTATGTCCACGTAAAGTATCCAGGAATACGGTCGAGTCCTATCATTCTACAAGGATATTCTTCATGTAATCTGAAGAATATATATTACAAATCATGTCATGTTGAAACTGAACTTCTCACAGCTTCTCCCAACCCTTACAATTTCCTAAATTAGTTTTACAGCAAGTATCCCTCCAAAGCTTTCTCCTCGACCATTAATTGAAGAGAGAAATTATCATAAATGCATGTAAATACATGTTACTACAACATTCAAGTGAACATCTATATTTGTACATAAAATTTAAAATGCTAAAGGTGACAAAGTGTAAAGCCTGAAGATTAAGGAGACAAAACAGTGAGGTCACGAGGCTAACTGAAAAGTTAACTTGCACTTTTAAAACAAAAAGAACTAATCGTGGTTGTCGACCATTAACAGCCTTAATTATACCTTAATCAACAACCCTTTCCTTGATAATTCTATTATATTCATCACCAGATTAGCACTGTACTTCTAAGGCTGTTGCCATACATATACTAATGCCAATTGCATGACCCTCGTGATGAACAAAATCGGTAGCTTTCTTTTAGATGAAGAAGCATAAAAACAGCGCAACTTTGCACGGTTCATGTAGATTTAAAGATCAAAGAAAGTGAAGATTTGTATAAGCACCCAAATTAAATACATTTACTAATCGTACTTAGCATTCTTAAAGTACACATTGTCTGCATTATTTAACCGCACAAACGCTATAAACTTAAGGAGATCATGAAATAAATAATTAGATGTAAAACATGCAAAACCTAGGTAGCATGCACAAGATCAAGAATGTCACGTGAGACCAGTCAGATACCATATTCTTTTTCTTTTTTTATTTTATTTTATTATAAATTATAACTGCCTACATAACTTTTCTTACAGAGAAGACAGAGCTTTAACTGCCAACGAATTGGAAATTAGGCATTTCCCAATGTTTATTTCATATATATCTTGCATCAACACTTGGCCAATAGATGATCCGTTGGAACTTGAAACTCGATTTAGAGTAATCAGACATCATATAAAGCAATTACATCACATTTCAAGAAATCAAGAAATAGATAAGCGCAATTACTTCAAAACCAGTTAAATTTATCGGACTTGGAGAAATCTTCAACCAAATAAAAAACCTTCCAACAGACAGAAAAAACAATACCATAGAATAATAGTTGTCACACTATTTTATCTCACAGATAGAAGAAAAAATAAATTTCTTAGAAACTTCATAAATTACATACAAGAACTTCTGTCCATGATCATTCAAATGCATGAAGAATTTTGAATATCGTAAAATATTTTGGGCCAAAGCTGTGGTCGAGTAATTCAAAACAAAAGCGAAAATGTTTGAAGAGTAGTATATTTCATCTACACTTGGTTAGAATTTATCAAATTTCGAGCATCTGCATTCTCATATATGGCTCGTTTCCAAGATTTATTTGTCGAAAACAATTAAAAGAGGCATACATCAGGAACAGTTGTATCATTAGCTAACAACCAAACTATTATGGAAATAGTTAATATAAAATTACTGTCACAGATAATACTTATGATCCCGAAGAATACTATGGAACTATTTCTATATCTTTAAGAGCAGTGAATCAACTCCTACATGAAACTACACTGGGAAAGGGAAAGGTTTCATCACTGTTGCAAGGAAGACTCCCTTGACTTTTCGTTCTAACTTCTAAGGAACTCTTTCCAATACTAACAGGAAAGACACTTAGAATCAAGCCCAAACAATACACTCCAGATTCACAATTTCAGTCGGAGTAAGGGGAAAAAAATGTCCCTAACTCAAGAAAGTGGTTTCGTCCATTGTTAGGGTTTTGGTTAGATTATGTTTCATAGCCAAGGATTTTGATTATAAAAAATCGCACCAAAATTCTTTGGCAATTACAAAAGGACAACACAAAGAAGAAGAAACACTATAAACTGAAGCACTGTGTGCGTGGGAGAGAAGCGCACCTTTGCAAAGATTGCCCAGTTGTGTCTCAATATTGTTGAGGAACGATGTTGCTTCATCAAAAGGCCTTGATAGATCCGACTTGTACTTCACCAATGTTTCACAGTAGGTTTCCTAGAGAAAGAGATAGGGATACAACACTTGATACAACTTGAAACCAGTAAGTTCAACAGAAAAATTTTAAAGGCAGAAAAAAAAATAAAAACTGTGTGATTGTAAGAGCGATAGACCATAAATTCGTCGAGCTCAGGATCCACTCCGAGGCATGTAGAAGTTCCATCTCGATTACAGAAGTCGTTTTCTCGTCTGATTTCATCCAGTAGACATGCTATTTCTGGGGGTGCTCCAACCTGAAAGTCAACAAAATATGCCGCTGAATTCGTATTAATGATCAAGAAAAACTTGAAACTGCAATCTGAAGAGGAAGAAGATGAGTCTTTCGGCTAATATTTGATCATAAGAAATCCTAAATAGCTAAGACTAGAAAAGAAAACATACAATCAAACGAAAAGAAAAGCCCTTGATAGTGAGAGTTTTGAAAGCTTAAACCTTTTGGCAATCGATATAAGCATCAAGCAACTTGGGGTAAGATGGATGAGAAGCAATTTTAGTCTTTATCAAGCTCGAACCCTGTTCATCCTGATCATCTCCAGGGCCTGTTTCCCTCTGAATATTAACGGACGCCACATCCGATACCACAGAATACTGGAATCCACTTCCAGCAAAATCATCGGATCCAAACATCCCTGTTCGATTATGTTGATGATCAACTGAAGACGAGACAAGGCTATAGTATTGCTGATTATACTCTGCCGGCATCATCAGAGTCTCCGGTGACATCAACGCCTTGTCTGCATAGTCACACGTCGAATGAAGGCCATACATTTCATCCATATGACCCTTGAAAATCACAACAATTATCAAAAAGGTAACACTTTTTTTTGTTTCTCTAACACAACGACATTAAATTTAAGGTAGTGTATATTTATGTATACACTGGAGCTTTAGCAGAGTGATGAAGTGAGAGATATGGTGGTGTTGGTGAAGAGAGATGCTCAATTCTTGAGTGAGGCCCATTGTTTTTTCATTATTAATTTCGGCATCTTCGTGAGACATACTTTAGAAAGTAATTTTTTAAAAATAAACTTCTAAGGGACACAGTCTATTTTTATTTTTTAAAATAAAAAGTTAATTTTTGTTCTTAATTTACAATGATGACATTTAGTCCCCGTTTGACAATCGTTATTTGTAAAAAAATGAATTGAATAATGATTTTTTGAAAAATTTGTTATTAAAAAGTAAAAAAAATTAAATTTACGTGCAAATAGTTTATAGAGTGAATGTATAATTAAAAATGAGTATATATAAAAAAAAAAAAAGAGTTCACAAATAATGATTGTCAAAAACCATTATTTCAAATTTCTTTATTCTACATATTTATTTTCAACCATATATTCATATAATAAAATATTTTACAATTAAATTCAAAATTTTTCCTTATTTTTTAATCACGCATTCTTGTAAAAATCACTATTCAAATTTTATTTTATTTTTCAAAATAATGGTTGTCAAACAAGGGCTAAAAGATTTTTATAATTATGACCATGTTTAGTGAGAATTAAAATCAAAATTTTTTTACTAGATATTGATAAAAGTTAATAAAATGTATAATTGAAAAATTATGAATATAATGAATTATGTGTTTAAATTAAAAATCTATATCTCAATGCCTACAAAACATGGACTATATAAGGGCATGTTCGGTACAGCTTAAAATCCAATTAAAATTGAAAATATGGTCGTTATTGGGTCCCACTCGTCTAATAAAAGTCAACAATAAAGACTAATTTTTCAATTTTAATCCAATTTTAGTCTCTACCGAACACGCCCTAAGTTATATTGAGGGCTTGTTTGAAATCCAATTTTGTCAAAAAAAAAAAATGCATTTTTGAATAGAGTATTGATCGGAAATATATGGTTAAAAAATAAAGGAAATTTTGAATTTGTATGTAATATTATTTTATTGAATAATTTGTGATTGAAATATGTAAAAATACTATTCAAAAATGTATCTTTTCAAAAAAAAAGGAACTCAAACAAAGGCTAAATAAGTCAATTGTCAATATGAGTCGATATAATTTAAATCATTTATAAACGCATTTCAAATATTATCAAATAGAATAAGACAAAACTATGTTACCCCCATTTAGAAAGGATTTATAAATAGATGGAAATTAATAGTGGACAACTCAATAGAACTTGTGAATTCATTGAATTGTGGTTGAATAGGAAGTTTAATCATTTATAAATGGTTCAGGCTTGAACCAAATCATCCTTATAATTCATTGCATATTTGATCGATCATGGTGCAACAAGTTATAGCATCGCACATGTATCGAATTGTATTACAATGAATAGTAAATATCACTCGTAGTAAGATTTAAAATTTTTAAATTTACTCGTACTAATCTTTTACGGTGTATTACCCAATCGTATGTCGTTAAAATTGAATTACTATTAATCATTTTTTTAAGCCCAATTCGAAGAGAAACAACATCATGAGCAAATTCGCACGTGCCATTCTAATTTGTGTAAACTATCATATCATATGTTTTTAGGACAATTTTATCTTTGCGCCGTAATTAAGATTGGGGATTATGCCCATTTATTCCCTAACATGTAAAAATGCAAAGGAAGGGTTAACTGCACCCTCAATTCTTCCCATATCTTTTTTTGCTTTCTGCACTCGACCCTAATTCAAAAAATTAAAAGAATCACTCTCTACACCTCCAAACTTTTCCAATAGTCCTACCTTTTTTTTTTTTTTTTTTTTTTGTTTTTACAACACTTAAATGAACGATAAAATTGGCAGTTCCACGAATGACGATTAACTTTATTTTTCACATGAATAGTGGGAATAGATTATACCTTAAAAGTGTTAGAAATGGAAGCAATCAACGAAAGATTAATTTAATCTTCACTTTTGAATTCTAATTCTATTATCTTCTCCACCACCGCAATAACAACCATCTCTTCTCTCGCCTTTCTTAAAAGGTACTTTGCTACGCCTCTAATACAGTTCCACAAAAGGCCTAGCAATATAGGTACATCTACAGTGTTCCTAGGCTCACTCGTGACGGATAACGAAACAAGAATGGTTGAAGTGGGGATAAGGTTGTCCCGAGAAAAGTGACTTATAATGAATATTAGGATTGTACAGAATAATCATGTTAAATATTCGTGAATAAGTGAAAATTACTCGAATATTTAGAATTATAACCAAAATTCTAACATGAATATTTGATTAGTAATATATTTTTAAATCGTTCAACAATTTTTTCCAGAGTACTCTAACCATTACTTCTAACTAGAAAATAAATATGAGATTATAAGGTAAGTAAATATGAAAGAGACAATGGTTTAGGATATACCAAAAATGAAGCCAAACGATTCAAATAAACGAACAAACAAACAAATAAATAAAAATTGAATTATTAAATAATAAAAGACAGTGATTTCGAATGTGTTAGAAAAAGGTGCAACATAAAGTTATTCTACCTTTACTTGAGTTTATTAAAATATATTAGTTGATTTGCATGAATAAGGTATAATATGCTGTAAAGGAAAAATTCTCTTTATATTAATGGAAAAATTCCCTTTCCAATAAAACTAAAGCTTTGATAAGAACATCAAACAGCCCACTTTCAAAAAAAATAAAATGATTTATTTTGGTTCTCTTACTAATTTATAACAATGAATTCAGTCTAATTTTTGATATTCAATTGTGAAAAATTAAGTATTTTATGAAAAAAAAAAATTTAACTTGGTTAAAAAAAACCCGTTTAAATCAGCGACGGTCTATTTAACCATTTTACATTTTTCAATGGGCGCGAGTCCTAATAAATTGTATTCGATTGCGCATTAAAATCCCAACTAAAAAAAAAAAAATAAAAATTTACGTGAGATATCAACTATAATAGTCAAATGTACTATTGATGAATAATTTAATGATGTTATTATTATCTAAATTATATAATTTATAAGTAAAAAATACTATAATTCGAGTGTTGAATATGTTGTATACGATTATTTTCTTATAAATAAAAATACATATAAACCTCAATCAAACTCGAAATAGACACTAAGGTACAAGTATGACTAAAAAATCAATCTAAACATGGTGAGACATCCATGTAACATTAAGGTACAATCAATTGGATATGAACTTTATTATTTGTTTTTAGCATACGAATGAATCTAATTCAGAAGGTACCTTATACAGGACTTCTTTGACTTCAAAATGAACCAAATATTAGGGGATTCTTATTTTAGTTTACTTATTAATTATAATTATAATTCCTATTTAAATTTTACTTATATTATGATTGCGATTCAACTTAATCTACAAATTTTACTTCTTTTTTCCATAGCTATAGGATGTATAGATGATAGGGACTCTTTATTTAAAAGAACATAAATTGTTATGTTCCCTGTTTGGTAGAGATTAAAATTATTATTTTTTTTATAAATTTTGATAAAAATTAATAAAATGTATTATTAAAAAGTAACAGAGTCCGAACAATATACAATTAAAATTAATTATTAATTTTAACTTTGATTTAATTTTAATCCATAACAAATAGGAGCTATGTCTTTCTTATTTGTTCTAAACACACCTATATTATGGGCCTGTTTGGGTCAAATTTTAATTTGATTTTAATCTAAATCAAAGTCAAACAATCAATATCAATCACATCTTTCATGGGTGCCACATCTTTTCAACCACACACTTTAAAAATTTCTATCACAATTCACTTAAAATCTGATTTTAATCTACACCAAACACCCTCTATATTGTATAGTTGAGAGGTGAAAATGACTATTTTTAAATGAAAAAAAAATAAAAAATTATCCACCTCAAATCCTCAATCCACTATACAATATATCTACATGTTACTATTCAATATAACTTTTTATTAAATTTTGGTACCATCTAATTGGATTTGCCAAATGGAACCCTAGTGTTAATTTCTTGGATTATTTCCAACAACTTTCTTGTAATTTTTATGACATGTGAAGTCCATTATTTTTCTTAGAAATAGACAAAAGTTGGAAGTGATTTTTCGAAAAATATGTAATTAAAAAATAAATAAAAACAAGGTTTCATAATAATTAAAAATAATTTTTTAAAAATCTTTTCCAAACAAAAGTCTACTATTTTTGTCATGCAATGGACACACATATAATGGTTTGGGGTAAATTGAAAGGCTAAAAACCTAAGCTAAGCAAACATAGAATTTGGCTATTCTGAAAAGTTTGCTGGACTGCACAAGCAAACATGATTGATTGATTGATTTGATCTGATTTGATGTTATGGGCAGTTAAAGCTGTCTATTTTTACTCTACACCGTTGGATAATTTTCTTCTCCATATCCAGCCGTTGATCCGTTTATCTCCTAGTTGCATATAATTCTACCGTGAACCATAACCAGGCAGGGAATCCAAGGGATAATATAGCAGTAAATACAAATTGCAAAGAGGACTTCGTATTAAAAATAATAATAATAATAATTGTGCACTTTTCGTTTTCAATCTTTCCGCAAAAATATAGCCTTCGTTAAATTAAAAATATATTTTTTCAGAGCTTATCTTTAATCATATATTTTTTAATAAAATAATATTACGTTTAAATTCAAAATTTTATTAAAAAAAATTACTATTCCAAAATATTTTTTTCCCTAAAATCTCGTTAAAATGGAGCCCATTCAGCCCTATTTTTTTTATGAAAATAAACTTTGTAACAATGATTTTTTAGAGAATATTTAATTAAAAATGAGAAATATTTTGAATTTATGTATAAAATTATATTATTAAAAGAATGCATG